AAAATTGTTAAAAAATATATAAATAATAAAAAATGTTTAAATTTCATATAAGATATAAATAATAAAAAATGTTTAAATTTCGTATAAGATATCATATCTTATAATAAAACCAATAGATGTGAAAGTTTTGTCAAAGTTTGTGTCCCTTGGGAAGCGTGAAAACCATTTAATTTTTTTTATAATTAAAATAAGTATTATAAAGTGCATATAAGTATTATACATTGAATCCACTTTTATTAGTAGTATAGATATAGTTATTATACTTTTGGATGGTGCAATCTCTCAAGAAAGGTGAATGTGGATCACATCATTTGTTTGCAAAGAAACAATAATATCATATTGAAAACATAGTGTATTATAGCCCTAACATCATAGATTCAAATTACGTAGCGTTTGTTTATATACTAACATTTCACAAATTGTCCGCTACGGATTTGAACATCTTGCCTTCCTTTTGAGAGAAAGCAGAAGATGATACCATTAGACCAATGGCTCATTGATTATTTATTTACATGGCAACTTTATCACGAACATTGTTCAAGCAAACTTTCAATGGCTTGTCTTTCAGATTTTCTAGTTAAATTAGAGCATGATTTTCATATATCACCATGGTTCAATCTTAAATATTCAAGTTACTTTGAAGAACCAAATTAGGCCTTAGCATCTCCTCCTTCATTGACACCTTCAGATTACGCCTCTTCTCTGCAAGAAGAACCAAATTGCCTTGGGCTAGTTGGTGTGTGTTGGGGCCGTGGGCCTGACTGTATGGGAATATTATAAAATTTCAATTTTCTTTTTTCAATTTCCAATATTCTCTTTGCATTATAAATTGGGAATTTCCTTGTTTCAACATCATGCTCTTTTATTTTTTTTTGCTCTCATTTTCTCCCTTCAAGCTATTAAAAAGGCTTCTCATTTAAGTCACAATATATGAATATCTAAAAGTCCAACCATAATATTTGAATTTATTAACAAGGCGCTTTAAAGTGGGACTTAGATGCACTGTGCACCCTCATTTTTTTTTAGGGCGACCAAAAACCACAAATGTGAAGGAGAAACACAGGAATAATTTTTGTAGCATGAAGTGGAATGTAACAGGTGAATGTATATATCAATGAATTAAAATTGTACAAATAAGGCACATGCCAAATCAACAACAGGAAACTGAGAAAAGACAAAGTTCTAGAAAAAGTCAAAGTAACAACACCTAGCCAAAGCAACACCAAAATATTGGCATTGCAGTGGCAATACAAAGTCCCAAACTATCAGCAGCTTAGTGCTATACAAAATTGCAAGACTTTACAAACCATCACCAGCTTAGTGCTATACAAAACTGCAAGACTTAAAGTCAGTTGTGAATGTGTACGCAATCCAGTGTAGGTCGTACTTAGCATTATCCTTGATAATTTTCCGCGTGGCAATTCTTTATTTTACAGGCTTGACTACACTATACAACATCAAACAATATAGGAGCTATTCTGGTTTGAAGATTATGCTAGGATCTCTCCCTCTTTTGCATCAATCACCTCCTCATCCCCATAGAAATCAACTAAACCATTGGAGGAGTTCGGTTTGTTTATGAAGAAGGATGATTTCTACGGGGATGAGGAGGTGATTGATGAAGAAGAGAAGACCCTCGCATAAGTTTCAAACTAGAATAGCTCCCATATAGAAGTTTGATATTGTATAGTGTGATTGTCCTCGAAGTCGACAGTCTTCTAATTGTCAAATACTTTGAGAATCTAAGTCCATTGGAGAAGTTCGGTTTGTTTTTGAAGAAGGATGATTTCTACGGGGATGAGGAGGTGATTGATGAAGAAGAGAAGACCCTCGCATAAGTTTCAAACTAGAATAGCTCCCATATAGAAGTTTGATATTGTATAGTGTGATTGTCCTCGAAGTCGACAGTCTTCTAATTGTCAGTCTTCTAATTGTCAAATACTTTGAGAATCTAAGTCCATTGGAGAAGTTCGGTTTGTTTATGAAGAAGGATGATTTCTACGGGGATGAGGAGGTGATTGATGAAGAAGAGAAGACTCTCGCATAAGTTTCAAACTAGAATAGCTCCCATATAGAAGTTTGATATTGTATAGTGTGATTGTCCTCGAAGTCGACAGTCTTCTAATTGTCAAATACTTTGAGAATCTAAGTCCATTGGAGAAGTTCGGTTTGTTTATGAAGAAAGATGATTTCTACGGGGATGAGGAGGTGATTGATGAAGAAGAGAAGACCCTCGCATAAGTTTCAAACTAGAATAGCTCCCATATAGAAGTTTGATATTGTATAGTGTGATTGTCCTCGAAGTCGACAGTCTTCTAATTGTCAAATACTTTGAGAATCTAAGTCCATTGGAGAAGTTCGGTTTGTTTTTGAAGAAGGATGATTTCTACGAGAATGAGGAGGTGATTGATGAAGAAGAGAAGACCTTCGCATAAGTTTCAAACTAGAATAGCTCCCATATAGAAGTTTGATATTGTATAGTGTGATTGTCCTCGAAGTTGAGAGTCTTCTAATTGTCAAATACTTTGAGAATCTAAGTCCATTGGAGAAGTTCGGTTTGTTTTTGAAGAAGGATGATTTCTACTGGGATGAGGAGGTGATTGATGAAGAAGAGAAGACCCTCTCATAAGTTTCAAACTAGAATAGCTCCCATATAGAAGTTTGATATTGTATAGTGTGATTGTCCTCGAAGTCGACAGTCTTCTAATTGTCAAATACTTTGAGAATCTAGGTCCATTGGAGAAGTTCGGTTTGTTTTTGAAGAAGGATGATTTCTACAGGGATGAGGAGGTGATTAATGCGGAAGAGGGAGAGATCCTTGCTTAAGTTTCAAACCAATATATATATATTAGTAAAGACACGTGCTGGGTTAAAAGTTTGGACTACATTATTTAATTATTTATTATATTTATATACATTAAGGGTATACTTGTCATTTGTAAAAATATTATTTTCTAGGATAACTCTAATTAGATGAGGTGGTCAAATATTAGATTAGGTGTCCATTCGCATATAAATGTTCGGTGTTTTATCATTATTCTAACTGAAATGGATAAAATTATATCGTAATTTCTAAAAATAAATCCAAAGTGTTCAAAATTTGAAATACATGCGGACATGGATTAAAAGAACTATTTGTTATCCATGTCTGCATAACTGCAGTATGACACTAACCAAAATTAATGTTTGGAGTGTGAATAAAAAATGTATCAAAAATTTGTAATTTGACTTATAGTAATTTTTAAAAATTGTTTCAATAAAATTAACTCATTATTTTTTCCTAACAAATAATCCTAGCTACACACAATTCACAATTTACTCATGTGGACACTAGAATCAGAATGATACGTTGTCCTTACTTTGTCTCATAAAGTCTGTCCACCTTTTTATTTTTTATTTGTCCCAACAAAAAAGTCAATGTTTTTTTTTTTAGTAATATTATCAATTCTTGAATTTTTTATTATAAAAAAGTAAATCATCACACCATTATGAACTCACTGTAGGTAAATTAATAATTAATTCATTATCAATATAAAAAAAAAAAAAAAAAAAGACATTCAGGGTCATAGTGTCTTAGTGCTGCCATCCATGCAATCTCGCATCATAAATCGTACTTTTAGCATTTCACGCTAAAATTTCAATTTTGATTGCGACCGAATGTCCCAATTAGTTTTTTTAGCCACGACTCTTCAACAGCAACTCTTGCACAATAAGTAATACCCATAGAGTTCTAAGTTGACGTCATTTTTTGTTTTTTGAATTCTATCAGTGAGCAGGGCATTTTGCCAAGTCAATTTTTAATTTGTTCGGGCTTGATTTAGCCCAATTCAAACTTGGCTTGTCAATATTTAAATAAATTCGGGTTTGGCACGGTACAAGTTAGCATGAAATCATTATCATCTCTACAATTAATTAGGAGTGGCACGAATTGAATCGGATCAAATCAGATTAGATTATGATTTAAATGTAATCTAATTCTATTTTAATTTGATTTATGAAAATATTCAATTCTATCTATCAAACATCCGATCGAATTGATTCAAATTTATGATTGAATTTTTTCAAATGGTTTAATAAATGAACGGTCACCAATTTCATTAATTGTAAAACTGCTTTAACTACTGCGATCATTAAAAAGAAAAAAAAATACTACTTTTGACGACAATAATATACCGACGAAAAACTTCAACTTCCACATGGCAACAAATTATTTGCCCACAACACTCTCTCCCTTCCTATGCTCACAATCCTTCCCTCACAATCATTTACAAAACCCTCCCATCTTTTTCTACACGTATTTTTCAACAACGGTAATGAATTGAAACGACGCTATTGAACTATGAAAGCATATTTTATAGAACTTAGCCAAAAGAGTGGAGCAAGTTGCCATTCTCCATCTAAACCTTTCATGTTTATCTGGCCAGAATCTCAATTTGATTTGGAAGAAAATACTATTTTTTGGTTGTTACATTTTACTAAATTTAAGAGTTGCTGTGTTATAGAGTCATTTACGTAGGTATCAGAATTTTTTGTCAACATATTATTGTGGTCAAAAATATTATTTTTTATATTACTAACACAATTACACAAAAGTCAATAGCCTCGTGAACACATTAACATAGGCACACGGAACCTATAACACAACAAACTAAAACACAATAGTCATTAACAGATCAAATTTTAATATATATTTGTATATAATTTATTGTGAGCAGATTACAGATTGAATGAGATTTGTCAGAGTTTAATCCATTAACATATTCAATCACTGAGAATTGGATTGAATGTCCACCGGTCTACATCTACATTGTTCATTCCATCAAAAGTAAAAAAAATATATATATTTAGCAAAGGAGTCGTGACGTGATACACAATACCAATCCGAATGGGTCCAAATCCAATTAGAGTGGAGGAACCAAATATTCCGAATATACCCAATTCAATACCAACCACAAACCCGATCTTCCGTGGCCGTGTCACCTCCTATCGACTCTTCTTTACCTTTACCAAGCAGACGACCTTCCTCTTTCTACCTCTAATTCTATTGATCACATAAACACATACAGTAGTACTACGTAGTATAACATAACCCCAAATTTCATTTCTCAACTTCTTCTTCCTCCTCCTCCTCCTCACTCAAACAAAGTTTTTTCTGTTTGAAAAATGTCGAAGTTCACATTTCAAACTGAAACCAATTTATGCTATCTTTCTCACTGTACTAATACTAATAATTATCAGAGCTCAATTTTTAACTCTTCATTGAAGCACCGTCACTTGCGTATGTTTCCTTCTCAACATCGCTTGAGATTCAGGGTTTCTTGCGGCATCAAAGAGAAGGAAAATGTTGCAGAAACTGAGAGGGTCAAGGAAGTACTTACTGGACTTCGAATCGATGAATTGGACCAAACGGGTTCTATAGCGGCATCTGAGGATCAATTGGAAACTGGAAGTGGGGTTGAGAAAATGGCTTTTGATTGGAATTGGCCGCCATTGAAGAATGTTCCTCAAAGATACAAAATCATTGGCACCACATCGTTGGCCTTTGTTATCTGTAACATGGATAAGGTGATTGATTCAAATAAGTCTCTTGGACATTTCTGTAAACAGTTTATACTCTTGAATGATGTTTTTACGATTAGCGAACCATTATGATCTTTTTTTTTTCTTTTTCTTTTTTTCTTTTTGCTTTGAAATGGAGTTGCTCATGTTGCTATTGGGTGTTTATGATTGGGAAAAATGATTAAAAAAAACACTGGTCATTTTTGTTTGAATTTGAAGGAAAAAGTTAAGGACTATGGATGACATTGCTTGTTGGGTTTTTTGGTTCTTGTGTATTAGTTGGATATCAATTGTTTGTATGTTTAATTGGGTAGGTAAACTTGAGTATCGCAATAATTCCAATGTCACACCAGTTTGGGTGGAACTCATCTGTTGCTGGATTAGTGCAATCGTCTTTCTTTTGGGGATATGCGTTAAGTCAGTTGCCTGGAGGGTGGCTTGCAAAGCTATTTGGTGGAAGGTAAGTTTTTGAAGATCCAGTTGTATCTTAAATTCGTTTAAATGTATTGATTATTTAGCAGACTACTGTGAACTTCTATTTCCACATAACTTACTAAGAAAAAAATTATGTTGCCAACTGTTAATGATGAGAGATAAAGTGAGAGAAAATCAACTGAGATGGTTTGATATATGCAGTGAAAATCAATAATTTCATTAAAGTGACATGTTCCACATTAAGGGTCATGTTAGGGGAATGAGAAGACCAACATTAACATGGACTATGTGTCAGAGTATGGTTTAACTGAAGTTATAACTCTAGATATATATTGCAACAAATGATTCATGCAGCCCACCCCAAATGGTTGGGGAGAAGTCTCTGTTGTGTTGGATATTCTGATTTAAAGTGGAAAGAGGAAATAGCAGATGAAACATGTCAATTGGATGGTTTATTCTTCTTTCTAATGACAGTCATTCTCAAAGATGCATCAATCGTATGTGAATCATGCAGTTTTATCTGCAATCAAATAATAAGCCTTAAGGCTTATATAACTTGTTATGTTTGAATTTGATCAAGATGACTGATTGTAAACCAACAGAAACCAATCCTGTTCATGGACTTTCTATTCCAATATAACCTTTTAATGTTCTCAAAAGACATAAACCCTTGATAATTCATAATTTTAACAAGGCGCAACATTAGCTAAACAATCTCCCATATTGGATCTCTTTACTCAGGTAGATGTATGTGTTGCGCATATTTATTGTTACCCGTACTCATTGCACTTATTGACTTTCTTTCTGCGCTAAACCTTATTCTGCTGTCACTTCATTCATGTACTATCTACCATCAGATTAGTGCACCAACAAAAGCTTCGATTATCCAAAATTACAATTGTCATGTTGTTGAGCTAGTTATTGTTTTTATCTCATAAATGATTTATCCCGCTGAAATGTGGAATCTGTTCTCGTATGATTAATTTCATCATCTTGATCCAGAATAGATTGTATGGCCCTAACTTATGAATGCCTCACCCTGGTCAATATTTTTCCTGGCCAAATAATTGTCCTGATAACAGTGTTCAATTTGACACAACAAAGTACCATAAACCCTGTAGAGATAAAAACATTATGGATCAAATTGGAACAGTGTGTGCTAATGGGTGAAGGAAAAATGACCATTTTTGCAAAAGAAAGACAGAGAGAACTGGAAAATGACATTGAAGGAAAATGACAATGCATAACTCTTTTCCCAATGAGCTTTCTTAAATCCTATTTTTTCCCAACATATTTGTTCATGTGGACATCTTATATTATTATGGGAACCAAATCTTGAACCTCAGCTGCTCCAGCAAACTGGTAATTTAAAAACAAACTGGCTAAATAAATTTAATGTATTCCTTGATCAAGAAGATTATGAGCAAACATGTAAAAACAACTCAACTTCCATTTGTTTTAGAAACAGTAACTCTAATTTTTTTTTTTTTTTCCAGAGTCAGCCTTGACTATCATCATATTACATGCATTTGTAGCTAGCATTGTATCTTCATTTTAGATCTAATCTAGTGGTGTGATTGATGCATAACGCTGAGCAGTTATCTTGTTGCTGGTGCAGAAAAGTTCTTCAGATTGGAGTCCTGACTTGGTCGCTGGCCACAGCTCTTGTTCCTTCTGTTGCAGGGTTTATGCCTGGACTAGTTTTATCAAGAATTTTAGTAAGTTCCTTGTTTGGTAGGTGAGGATGTTGGCTTGATGGTCTTGGAAATCTAAGCTTCAAACTTTTTGTAACGTGTCTGCATTCTTGCATTAACATTCAATTGGTTTCACTGAATCATCCAGTTTTATTCTTTTTTATTTGTCTCTGCCCATTCTCATTACCTTTAATTTGATTATTCGGTAGATTTAAGTAGTATTTTTAGGCATTAATGGCGTCAGCTTGGCTTTAGTGGCTATTCATTGTTACTTATTCCAATCATCTTAATCGGAATTTTTCTTGTGTCTCAAATTTAGGTTGGAATAGGAGAAGGTGTTTCCCCTTCAGCTGCAACTGATCTAATTGCCAGGCACGTGAAATACTGGATAGTTTTTTGTTCTTCTTAAATTTTATTTATTTATTTATTATTTCTTACTATTTTTTATGCGATAAACTATGGGCACTGATATTTGAACAAGATCTCTGTAGTCTGCACTGTGTGCTGTGTTGTGGTTTTCATGTTAGATTATTGGTTGATGGTCATGCTTTCCATGTATTGTCTTCTTTCATTTCTGAACCTTTTCTTCTTAACTATTTGGGAGTTGGACTACTTCTTATACTGGCTATTTTTGCCAAACAGTGAGTCTGATTAGAAGAGTGAAGATGAGAGGAGAAACTTTGTTAGATAATAAGAAAGATGGAATTTTCAGTAAAGCTCATCATCTTTGGTTGGTCTCGAAATAGTTACTTGTTCAGGCAAGTACTAGTTATGCATTCAAGTGGTTGAGATGGAAAGAGAAAAGTGCATTGGTCAATGGATTTGCCATGTTTGCTTTTCGAAGATTGTGGGGATGTTATAAAAATGTTCTTAAGAATAATATTGAGGAATTCAATGAAATAAAAAGTATAAATAAATGCACTAATGCCACCATTGTTGCTCAAATTCTTAAAAGAAGATATCTCCATTAGAAGGAAGACCTATAACAGTAAGTCATCTCTATTCTGAATAAGTTGATTCAGAGGGTATTGTCTGGAAGAATTTGGAGCATCTTGCATGAGACAAGTTCTTCATCTCAGGGGACTTTTAAATGTGGAAGACAGATCCTAGGCACAATTTTACTTTCAAATGAGGTGGTTGAAGAGGACAATAAAGTGGGAGAAACAAAGGAGTTGTGCTTCAGATTGGTTTTGAGAAAGTCAATGGCCATATGAATTGGTGATTTCTTGAAATTTGGATCTTGGGTTTCTTGAACATATCCTTAGACTAAAAAGGCTTCAGCCCCTGAGCCACATAATTTGCGCAAGGGTTTCACACTCCCAAGCTCTGCGCGCGAATTGGCAAGTTGGGAGCGGATTCGCCCCAAATTTGTGAACTCAATTTGTAGAGTTCTCAAATTCAATTCTAGAATCCACGACTTGCCCACAATCCGCGTTTGTGATGTCCTTTCTGCACAAATAATGACTAAAAAGTTGTAGTATGGGGTAGGGATTGAACCCATTACTTGTAGTAGTGAATCCAAAAGAAAGTGCCACCAGACCATTATTCTCTCATATTATATTCTAATGATTTTTTAATTACTGTACTGCTAAGAAGTTAACCTGACATTTATCTTCATTTTATGTTTTTATTTATTTATTTACTTTTATTGACATTTGTGGTACTGTTCCAACTCTTGATGCAGGACAATACCATTGGAAGAGCGGTCACGGGCTGTATCATTTGTTTTTGGTGGTTTGAGTGTTGGAAGTGTCATGGGGTATGTTTCACTATAAACGTAACACAGTGCTAAATTGGTCCATAATGGCTTATCTTTTGGTATTGTAGTTAATCACTTTCTAAATGTTAAATTATTGATTTATTATTTCCTTGTCTTTTAGGCTTCTCAGTTTTGTATAAAGAGACTAAAGAGTTACTTACATAAATTGTTTTTGAATGTTAATTTATGGGAGGTCAGTGTAATTATCCCTTTAATAAAATCCACTAAACAGAAATCATTTACTGCTAATAGAGCCTTAAATTTAATTTATAAACAATCACTCATGTTGGAACCACCTGTAAGGATTCAACAAAATCCATTAGAAATCATTGAAACCAGGTTTTTATTGGATCTTGAAGTTAAAAGTTCATATAGATTTGTTTTGACCAAGATTCTTAAGGTTGAAAAAGGCTTACGACTCTGATGAGCAAAACTGTTACATAACCTATGTTACACCATTGGTGATCATGACTACGTTTTAATTCCTTGATTTGTAAGCGTGGCAAAGTCATGCAAGCAGCTTGTTTTCTTATTTTTCATGCTCTTGTTTGTAACTGTCTTGTGAGAGAGAGATTTTCAATCAGATGGAAGACAACCATCATAATTTATGATGTTCATCTCATTATATTGTCTTATCCCAATGGTTTGGGGATGGTTGATGTGCCTGTCAAGAGCCATGTATATGACTTAAACGTGTAATTTTTAAATCTGTTCATTAAATTTTCAATATATATATATATATATATATTTATATTCTAGTTTTATCCCCAATCTTAGATTGCCAACTTATGCTACAAATGTATGAAGAAGATGATAAAAGGTTGTAAATATTGAAGCTTCACATGTGTTTTCATTATCCTTGTATTGGTTCTTGGATTCTCTCTGAGAAGATAAATGGTGAATTGTCTATCTAATTATAATTAATATAAATCTTGAATTTCTATCCCTTGCAAGATTATATCATAGTTTAAATTCGGTTTAAATTCAGAATCTTGCAAATTTAGTCATTTTTGCTCAATTTATTTGTATCGCTCAGGGTTTGTTTCTTAGTCATTCTAATTCTGGAAAATCTTGCAGGCTTCTTTTGGCTCCTCCCCTTATCCAAAATTTTGGTTGGGAATCTGTATTCTACATATTTGGCTTTTTTGGGATAGCCTGGTGAGTGGCTATTAATAAAATTTCTGATTATCGCACTATCGTGGTCTTTTGAATAAGGTTTAAAATTGCTATTGGTAGCATACATTGAACTTAAGGCCTAAGGGTCATTGCACTTCCTTCCAAATGGTTGGATTGAATTTTCATCTTAACAGCTGCTAAAGATCTGTTGCTATGTACTTTTATTTTATTAAATCTATTTACTATGGAGTCTGGAGTAAGCCACTTCTAAATTTATGCAACATGTGATTCTTTTTATTTAAATACAATGAAAATATTTTTCATGGTTCTACAGCGACCTCATTTAATAATTGTCATCTTTGAAGAAATATTTTAGCGTAATCGAAGACCAGTTGTTTTTATTTTTCAAAATTGCCAATATGAAGATGTTACTGATACATGATCTTTTACTCGTGTCATCATCCAAAAATCTTGAAGGTTTTTGGGATTTCAGTTTGTTAAAGAAGGACACCCTTCACTTGCCGCTGTATCATGTAAGCATGTATTTCTTTTTCTTCTTTAGTCATCATTTATTCTATATCATAATTCATAAATGACCAGTTGACTAATTTCGAAGTCCATTGAAGACTAAGGGCATGCTTGACTTGGATTATTGTCAAGAATGCATTTTGCAAAAAGAAATACTACAGTCAGCCCCAAGCTTCCAGATTTATCGACTTTTTCTTTTATGACTTTTAGAAGTTATGTGATGTCCCATGTCGCTGGGGGGGAGGTTGTTGGCACTTATAAGGGTGGGACAGACACGTTTTGAAAACTGTGAGTACAAAGAGAGTGCAAAGCGGACAATATCTACACAGCGTGGGTGGAACCTGACAAGTTGAATGTCCATTGACACATGTTCTTTAAAGTACATCTATTATCCATTTCTCACAACGTGATATTCAGCTACAAACCTCCACTTTCCCAAGGGAATTCCTTTTGAATTTCTCTAGTTATCTTACAACTGTGGTTGGCATGAAGACAATGGATAAGAAGTCAGTGTGTAGATGGCAATAGAGGAACCTTAAATGATTAAGCTTCCACCCTATGACAAGTAGCATGAACTTGAAATGGAAGGCATTGTTGTGAATTTTTCTCCCACTCTCTGCTCTGAGACGTACTGGTAGCGCCAATATCTATATCAGTAGTAAGTACTTGGATTCCTTGTCCAATATTATTAAGAGTAATTGACCTGATGATGGATAACAAAATATGACTAGCACACATGAGCTACACGTCTTTCACCTTTACTTTTGGAGAACAGACAAAGATAGATAAGATCATTAGGGTTAGTTTATTTATTTATTTTTTGTTATTTTGGTAATGTTTTAATTTTAAGGATTTTTTTTTTTTTTTTGGGGGGGGGGGGGGGGGGGGGGGGGTTGTTTCTGCTTTTTCCTATACAAAGGCTATTATGTAGTCAAACAATTCAGTTTCTGTGAATTGAGTATTGTGTTCTTCAGATTACTCTCTGTGCTCCGCCTCTTCTGTTCTTGCTTTCCTCAACCCCTCTATCTGTCCAGCCTATCTATTCACTCTTTGTTGTCATTTCCTTCGCTTCTCTTCTCACTCCCTTCTTCTAGTTTCACCTCTCCATCTGTCTTCTGCTTTCTTTCTGGTTCTACATCAGTTTTGTATCAAAGCACTGTCATACATCAACTTGGTTTTAGAGCACACTATTCGTCATGCATCACCTGACTAATTTCTTTTTCAAACGAATCGTCCATCGGACATTGATGGCTTCGTGCGAAAGGATCTCAATTAAATTATATATGAGATAATGAACTTCGGCAGTAAAATAACTCATCATCACACAGGGAAAACTTGATGCATAATACTATACTACATGTAGCCAGTAGCAGACCTAATCGGGATATATATTCTCTATTTCGTAGGGTCTCCATCTGTCTCCAGGAAAGAGTCGTCGAATACTTCTTTTGAAGAGTTGGGTGGCTCACTGAAGGTATGATGAAATTCTTCTTTCTCCTCTTCTTTCTGTCTGATATGTGCTGGTGGCTCTAAATTGTTGTCCGTAAAAAATATGCTAGTGAATGAACTCATATTTTATTGGTCTTGATTTTCTAACCTTCTTTGTAATTTACAGGATATACCATGGAAGGCCTTTTTTCAAAGTCAGGCTGTACGGGCAATGATATATGCTCATTTTTGTGGAAGTTGGGGTCACTATACTTGTCTGTCTTGGCTCCCTACTTATTTCAGGTATCCTTTGTGACTATTAGCTTTTTCAATTTTTGAAGTTGGTTATCTCTAAATTATGACTTTTTAAAAGGAAGTAGTAGTGCTCCGAGTCTTTTGTATCAAAAAGTTTTTTGTTATGTTGCTCTTAACTAAACCTATAAAATTGGTGGAATATTATATTGTGGTATCTTATATGATAATGAATTAACACAAAGAACAGTGAATATGTTCTATATTGCACTACAATATCTGTCAGTGGAAACTATGATGTTCTATATATAGATACTGCATGGAGATGTTGTCTTTGCTCCAAGGCACAATTGTTCACTACATAAAACTTCATTAAGCTTTAAATCGGTATTTGGTGGTTCAATTTGTTAAAATCTGCAACACGATAATTATCAATCAAAAGAAATTGAAATGCTTCTGTGTTTAAACCTATAGAAACGGAACATAATCTAATAATTTGAATAAGGGAGATATTGGCTTCACTCTACAGACTTTAATGGCATGACGGATTTCCTAGCCATGTAAATCTATGGACACTGAAAGTTTCTTTGAATCCTGCTGAAAATTGTAACCAGTTATATTGCAATGACAAGGCAATTGAATATTTTCAATGCATATAACCTGTAAATGCTGGGAGGCTATTTCTTGGAATTTGAGGCAGGCTGGCAAAGGAGTCCAAAAGCATTTTAATTGTACCTGAAATCAATAAATTGCATAATTTTTTATTACATAAATCTTTGTTATCAGCTGAATGTATTAACTCAAAAGTACTCATGAAAATTATCTTGCACACAACTGTTTCTTTTTTACACCTTTGTTTCAGTCTGCAACATGAAGCATCTATGTTGAATACTTCTCCATTTTCCTTGTTATATAATTAAATTGCAAGTACACTGATTTTTATTTATCAACTTACATCCCATGCAGTGAGGAGTTGAACCTTAATTTGACAGAGGCTGCATGGGTAAGCCCATTATACCTATTTTCTCTCTCTCTTTCTCTTCCAACCCCCCCCCCCCCCCCCCCCCCCCCCCCCCCCCCAACACACACACACACACACGCTTCTTATAACTCATTCAAGAAGATGAATATTCAAGGGCACAGTTATGTCCACTGTGATCTTTTGAAAGATCAGAAAGGGATTATAAGATTTGTGAACTTCATGTATAAGCTAGGAAATGTAAAATCTTATTTCGGATTTTGATATAATGTATTCTAGACACCATGCCATCATCATTTATGTTGTGTAATATTCTAAATATCCTATATTAAGTCATCTATGCCCTGTAGTGTTCTGTTTACGGGACATCTAATGTCAGCATATTCACTTTCAACAAAATAGAGACATTACAGGAAGCGCTGCTATTTTTTCATCCTTCTTTGCTAATTTAAGCAATTGATCAGTAGTACCACATAGAAATTGGTATTAGGAGACTGGATGAGGTCCTTACTATATCGGTGATTGTAATAATAATCAAAGAGAAGTAATCCTCCAATTGGATATGAGTGTATTGAGATTTTATTCAATCTTTCTTATGCTCTAAACTTACACACACGTGAGTATATCCATTTATAAAAATTGAAAATCTAACCTACTGGAGAAACAGAGTTAATATCTGTAGCACAGTAGCATTGTATGAAGTGAAGGACGAGTGGAAATTGCTGCCAATATCCTTGAGATTTGTAGAAAATGAAAATTACTCTTGATTTATGACAGCTTCAATTCCAGAAACATTTGATTAAGAAATTTTGAGGTCCCAGGCCCATCAATAGATGCTCCTTTTGAAATCCATTGGTTTACAAGAATGGTTTTTCTTACTTTAGTTGTACCATGGAAATGATTTTTTCCTATTATTGGTTATGAGGAATCAGGGGGTGAAAATGCCATGATCTTGTCAAAAATGTGATGAAGTAAGGATGTTGAATTTTTAACTGAACCCTGTTTTAGTGTTCTTATGGTTGGAGGGTACTCATAATGATGTGGGATTTTAACCATTGGTTCATACTGACACTCGAACAGAATTTCAAGGATGTTGGAGTGGGTATTCTTGAACTAGAGGGAATGGAGAAAGTAGACCTGTGGTGTCATAAATGCTCATCCACACTAATGGAAACTGGATGTGATAAACAAGCATTAACTAAGGAGTGAGCTTAGAAAAATAACTCATGCAACACTTGACCTGCATATGGTGCCATTCATTTAGTACTGGTCTCATATTTGCTTGCATATGATGACATGTTTCCATTCCTTAAATCAGTTGGGCGATGTCTGGTTGCTTCTTTGTTAACTTTATCATTATACTTAGCTAAAATACATTGATAAAACTGCAAGTCTTGTATCATTATTAATAGAAACAACATCAGCATCAGGTTTCTGTAGAAGTTCCATGGAAATCAACATCAGCATCAGGCTTAGCATATATTGAATATGTCTGTAGAAGTTCCGTGGAAATCCACAATTCAATTGTTTAATTGAGTACTAGCATATCGTGAAAATTTCTCATAATTTATATATCATTTTGTCAGGTTTCTGTGCTTCCTCCGTTGGCTTCTATTTTCATGACCAGCATTGCAGCACAATTTGCGGATAACTCAATAGCCAATGGAGTTGAAACCACTACGGTATGGAAACCAGTATATGTATTATGTCCTAACTGAATTCAATTTTCGAATGCCAACAGAGAAAAATAGCTAAAAACAGAAATTATTAGAGCTTTGAATTGAATTTGGAAATGTGATTTACATTGACAGAACCACAAGTGCTCTAATATATGTTAGTCTTCTAATCTGATTTTGGTAGTGAAGACGAGAATGTGTGGAATTCTTTCAGATATGAGTGCCAATATATGCATGTGAAAAATCTGAGGACCATGACTTAGTCAAAGTGCATTATGCCCCAAATAGATCTAGAGGGGGCGAATAGATCTTTTCCAATTATAACTAACAATATCTTATTTTAAAATCTAATAATTATATTTTTAAAACAAAGCACTTACAAAAAAAATATTTAAGAAATGAATCAATATCAATTATCTAATACAGAGAGCAAGAATAAATAATCCAACAATCACATATAATAAAGTTGATTTTTTGTGAAAAACCTCAACAGAAAAAATCCACGGTACCTAGTGCTGGCAGATCGAATCCACTAAACAGAACAGAGTTTTACATTGAGGTTAACCAAACTCTAACAAAGAATCCCTTAGTTAACTATTTGATTTAACTTCCAGGAAAAATAAAAGATAAAAAAATAATCCCTTAGTTAACTCTGTCCTCACAGGAGATGATCAAACCCGATCTATGCTGCTGCTAGTCAAATGAATTCAGTCCTCACATGATCCACTCTTCAACGAGTGAATTCAGTCCTCCAGTGAATAGTCATGTCCGGTTGTTATTTGTTTGTGTGATTTAGTTCAATAATGATTCAGGCTCCACAAGCTATCATCCGCATTAGATGATCAAAAAGAAAAGAATGTTTTTTTATGTGCCTATATGCACTCTATAAAAATATGAATATGTGATTTTTTTTCTACACTCCCTCAATAATGTATAAGGAGATCTATGTGGGTATGAGAGTCTAGAGGTGTTTATATAGTGTTTGAGTCTAAAGGAATTATGATTTTTGAGTTTTAATCAGAAAAGGAAAATAAACCCTTTAAGAATTATGATTTAAGTAGCTTTCATAAAAAAAACACGTCCATCTATTAATTAAGCTGTCAATTAAAAGCCACTGTCCATTTGTCAATCAATTTTAACCCTCGATTGAAGCTCTGGTATGCTTTCAATCGATTGAACCTTTGATCAACACGTACTGGAGTTCGATAAATTTTTCTTTGCCCTTGTTCCTTTAAGATTTCTAACATAAAAAAATTCTGAAACAGTTTTGTGTATAAAAAGAGTTTTTATGGATCAAAACATGCAATCTTCAAACCCTAGCATGTATAATAATGTGAATGCAAAAATTAAAAATCCTAATTGGTGAGTTAGCAATTCAAAGGTGAATTTGTCTTTCTATTCTTTTTATCTTTACATACTTTGTCTTCAGTGTCCATTGATCCAATGTAAATTCTAACCTAACTTAATAAACCAACTTTTGAAAATTAAAAAGAAAAAAAAAATATATATATATATATATATATATTCAGACTCTGGCATCTATTTGAAATTTGCCAAGAGTAACAATATGTATTCCTTAGCAGGAAAGAAATTAGAGAATCTGAAGAGGAACAGCCAAAAGTCTTTCTGGTTGATGCTGTAAAATACAGAATTTATAAAAAAAAACTGATTATTTATTTATTTATTTGATAAGTAAAAAAATAAAAATAAAAATAAAAACAAAAACAAACTGATAAATTAAAATGTATGAATGGTTATGTTTATTGTAACTTTATAAATAGTAACACATTTGAACTAGTGATGTCATCTAAATTTGGAGCTTGCTTAAACGCAGTAGTGGTGCTAGTTTTGCTGGCCGAAAAAGACACCGTAGCGTGTCGTTTTTGTTCTATTTTAGTCATGATTGGCATCAGAAAAGATCAAAATTTTCATTCATTAATAAAATAAACATGACTGTCTTCACGTTGTTACATCATCCTCTACCTCATTGTACCTTCTCTCTTATTAACATACTTCGTCTCTTATTGAAAGCAAACTTATTGCTTCTGTTGCCATCCCTTTATTTCCAAATGCAAAATTAAGCATTCACATACTTAAAATAGACCTAGTTTGCGTACTTAGATTCATAACATTAGTATCCCATTTTTGTACATGTAGGTGCGGAAGATTTGTCAAACAATTGCCTTTTTATCTCCCGCAGCTTGCATGATTCTTTCTTCTTTGGATTTAGGGTTGCCCCCATGGGAAATTGTGGCGATCCTCACTGGTGGTTTAGCACTCTCAAGCTTTGCCTTGTCAGGTACTGAAAATATAAAATTTGGTAATTAGATCGATTATGGAAACTGATAGAGGAATAAGTTGATTTGTTCTCCATTTCTTTGCAAACTGTTAAGTGTTATTGTTTCTTTGATCACAGGACTATATTGTACCCATCAAGATATATCGCCTGAATATGCAAGCATACTTTTGGTACGTAAGCTTACAAACTTTAATCTTTATATTATGTGATGGAGCTGAAAAGCATTACTGTGATTTGGAGTATTACTCTAAAGTGTTTTGGCATCTAACCTTCTTATACGTGGATTTAATTTGCTTCAGTTGTCAATCGCTGTGTTGTACATGGTCCTGCTCTAGATGCTTGGATCATAGTACACAAACAATGGCGAAAATCATTTATCTTTTCAGGTTCATAGATTTTTTCCTGAAAATTTCCTCTCCAGTTTCAGCCTTCCTATTGTTTACCTTCAGTCAAAGCCAGGAAATCCTACTTTTCGACAAAAAAAAAAAAGAAAAAAAAAAAGCCACGAAATCCTGCATCTGAAAGATCCAGAGCAGGGTGGTGGCCGGAAATCTACTCTTCTAAAGGTTCAGATGAATACAAGTGCAACATACTTGTGATGCTGCCTTTATGCCAAGATTTGAAATGTATTTCTTTTGTCTACCTTCACTGAGGAAGTTGGCAACTATTATTATATTTTGAACACCAAAATATAATAATGGGGATCAAGATGGGACCCTCATTTTGCATATGCCGCACATTATTTGCTGCTATGTTAGGCATAGGAGCAAAGATAGCTAGGAATAGAATTTAGGAGTTATATCCTTTCTTTTTGTTTTTGGGACATGGATTCGGCTCTATTCTTCCTTATCTTTCTCCTCTTCTTCTCTCCCTCCCTCTCTTCCTTCCTGAATTATATAACTCTGTATACGTTCAACTATGGATGATGTGTTATGATATTTTCTTTTTATTTGTGCACACAGGGAATTACCAACACTGTTGGGGCAGTACCAGGAATTGTAGGAGTTGCTCTCACTGGTTTTCTTCTTGATTCAACTCATTCATGGAGTGTAAGTTGCCACCTTTATTGCCTCATAATATCCATTACCTTAAGTTCTTATTCCAGAATTCTTATTTATGCTACACATGTTATGTAGATGTCATTATTTGCACCATCAATCTTCTTCTACCTCAGCGGTACAATCGTATGGTTGATGTTTGCTAGCAGTAAGCCTCAAAACTTTTCCAAGAGAGATTAATCTTATTAAGGAGCGTCTGGTTGATTATATTGAATGAAGCATCGAAATGGAAGAACACATCATTCAAAACTTCTGCTAACTTGATCTTTTTGACAATGATGAGCTGCATTGACCTCATCTTCTAACCACAGTTGTTTTTTGTTGTATATATTTCATAGTAAAAGATAGCGTCTCATAGTAAAAGACTGTCTTTACAAATCCAGATGTAATCTACTAGGTAAAATATAATTGATTTGTACAGCTTCATTGTTTGACATTGGTCAGCTACCAAAACAATGAACCTGTTTGGAATTTCATATTGTATTAAACAGCTTTTTCAAGGGTATTTGTTCCACCAAGTTTTCTGAAAGTCTACTTTGGTGTTAATTTTTTTTTTTTTTTTTTTTTTTTTTTTTGCGTGTGTGGGAAGGTTCAACAGTGGTTTTCCTTCAAATTAAGGTAGCAAATGGAAAACAGGAGATATATTCCATTGTGCATGCAGGTGATGGGTCCTTGGTTCTGTGACCGTCTTTGATTAATTACTGAAAGAGAACCAAAAATTATATATTATCAAATTATTAAATATTCCAAACTAGCCTGAGATACAAAAAAGACTCCATTATCAGGTACATATCAAGAACTTTCTCACCATCAAAATCAATCCCTCAACCAAACAAAAGAAAACAAGTAGCCCTGAATGGTCACAGTACGTGCATGCCTTGCCTACACTCCAATGACACTTCCCGGTGGCGCCTTCGTCCCAACTTCACCACAGTAGTCCTTGATCAATGGTGCAAATTCAGGATGAAAGGGAAACATTGAAGGCCAACAATCGTCAACAATTTGATATACGGCCTCGCAACATTCAGGCAATAGACTGGTGAACTGGCCTTTGAGAAGAGCCTCATATACCTGTGTTACACACCCACTAATCTGGATTATAGGTGACCAGCAATGCATTATATCATGGTTTGCCCATATGGGTGGTAGTGGCACTGGACCGTGAAATACTATAGGCTCATGATTCGGTGGATCGGCGGGTGGATCCGCGGCCAGTCTTGCTGGTTCAGAAGTTGCCATGCAAATGCAAGCAACCGTTGATGATATTAGCAGTGAGATATATAGTTTTGCTACCATGATTGTGTAATGTCGCAAGTGAAAGTTGTGAGACGCTTAAGAGGAGGGGTTGTGAGAGAGAGAGAGAAGTGGGATTTATAGTGAGTACAGAGAGAAGATGAGAAAAATGAGAATTGAAACATTTGATGTTACGAAGATTTTTAATTTCAAATTGATATAGTCTTTGATTAAATGAAAGTAACAGTAAATTAAAGGACTAATGAAATTTGGTGTTTGTGATGTGGGTGTCTACCTTGAATGCTTGGGCTAAGTGGCATGGATAAAAATAGCATAATACAGTATAAAAGAGATAAAGTGAGATTATTAAAGAAGAGAGAGACTTTATATGAAATATTGACATATTTAAGGAGAGGTAAGTATAATTGTTCATATATTATATACAGTATATACTACTATTATAAGTCAAAGGACATTTTTTTTTTTAATTTATATATTTTTATATTTAAATATTGCGCATGGTTTGTTTGACAACACACTTTTGTCTTCTGATGTACTTTCTCTCTCTTTCTCTTCCCTAGCAAATCCAGTTTGAACGTGCAGATCTAGAGGTCTCTTTCACTCTCTTGTCTCTCCTTCGTTTCCTGTTTCTCTCCCCCAAGGAAATAAGGTATGATTTCTCCCCGACTTTTATGCATGATTTTGAAACTCCGATTTCTCATTATTTTTCTTTCTTTCTTTTTCTAAAATTTTGTTTTCAGAATTTTAAAATTACTCATTTTGAAGATCCATCCCTTATTAAGGCGGTTCGTGCGCAATAATCTGCTGCGGCATTAACTTCTCTAGAACAGAAGAAGATATTCCACTTTACATATTTGGTACTAATCAGTAGTAATTTGATAAATTTAACATAAAAACTAGAATTTAAAAATAAAAAAATAAAGCACTGTAAAATGAACCCATTACCAGTAGCATTTGGGGGATGGGTCAATTTGCCTTTTTTGCTAGGGTGCATGGCATTTACTACATTTCTGCAGTCAGAAACAATAATGAGCTTCCTGTAGCCTCTCCTCACAGCAACATAAACCACCGCCCTTGTCAACGCTAAGAATTATGTCTGCTCAGGCGAGTCGAGCTCATCAGGAATTCTCTCACTGAGATGGTACAAATTTTTTCCTTGGAAATCTTCGTAAACCACACCTAAGGAGCCTTTACGGGTACCCTCATTGTAGGAAGCATCAATTTTGACGCGAATCCATCCCTTGTAGCATCTGAAAACTTTGCATGGCTCAAATGATTTATTCTTAAGCAGATAGCCTTCCCTCTCTACCACAAAAAATCCAATGCTCCCTCATATACTTAGTAATAGTTTTCTCTTGGATATTATTGATTGCTCCTCCCTACCATTTCATATACTCGATATTTGTAATAAACGTAGTCTCTGGGGGAATCTATGATGGGCATAAATTCTTGTTAAGATTGGAGAGTGTCGAGCGAGATTAGCTCTATCTCCACAGGTCTAGAATTTACCCAACAATATCTGAAAAAATTAAGTCATTAGGACAAAAAAATAGAACTCTTAACATATATGTAAATCGAACAAAGAATTAGAATTGAGTGGATAATAATGTAAAAAAACTTGAATAAGGTTCATAATTTTAATGTTTCATATCAAGAAGAAGAAAAGACCTGAAAACGGCCCCCGGCTCCACCACCTGCATTTTATGAAATTCAAATCAGAAACAGAGCAGACTCCTACATCCATGTTACTCATATGAGAGTATATATCATAAGAACAGTGCCAAAAATTTAAAACCAAAAAAAATATCATCCAAACAAGTCTGATTCAATCAGAATTCATAATGTGTTTGGAACAGTGCAAATAGTTCCATTACCACTTCAGTTTTTGAATTCATACATAATCGAATAAAAATAATAAATCAAAACATCAAAAATTTGAGCGAACACTTTCAACAAATAACAATGAGTCATTGAATCACAAAACAATCCAGAGATATATACCTAAATTTGGATTGATTGACGCTTTGATTGCGTACGATAGAGGATTGACAGAAGTGATAAATTTCTTTCCAAATCGAAACATTTTTTCCCAATTTGGGATTTCTATTTCCTAATGGGGGTTATTTATATTAGGTAAAATGTGTAGTTAAAATCAGAAAAGAAAATAATTTTTAAAATAAAACCCGGTCTAAAATTTTGGGTTGAACCGTGATGGTCAATTGGTTCAAGTCTCCAGACGAGCACCCCCTTTTTTGCCTTTGAAAAAAATTAAAAAACATATATACAAGACTCTTGTAAAAATTCAGATATTACCTGTTTAATATCAACAATACTATCTAGGCACATTCCTCGATAGGATTTCATCATCAACTATCTTTATGTCTCTCAAGCACTCCAATGGAGGGCTAAGAGTTGCAATTGGTGTTCGCATTATTGAAAACGGCCTTAGGTGAGCCATGATGGAACTGAAATAAAAAAGTCAATATTAGTCAAACATAAGGGAAATTGAAATCACGCTTTATTATTGCAATGACAAGGTGTTATCACCATTCTAGATTTCCTAATTGCTGATTTGATTTCAACCTTCCCAGATGAACTTGTATCAAAAGGAGGATCCCAGCAATAAAGATTTACTGATATAACAGTATCTCTCTCTCTACTATATATATATATAGATATTACAGCTTTTATGGGAAGGACAAATTAGGAATTGCATGTTCCGTCTTTGATGCCCTGTAGAACTTCACTTGATTCTTCATTTTTTTTCATGTTCTTTTCTGTGGTTATCTTTTATTTTGTACATTAGGTTGGTGAGCTTTGACGAGCTGGAGGTTATCAGTCTCACTTGATCTCTATGGAACAAAGTTACAAAGATAACGGGGAAGAGATGTGACCTTTTGATGAGACAAGGTCTTACTGTAATATTAGGAAGTTGGAATGTTTGTATTTTTCTAAAATTTCCTTCTAAAACTTTACTTTTGTATGGAGTGTTATCGTAATGGAATTTTGTATTTCTCTTAACTTGGTTACTACTAATTCACTAGTATTATTTGTTTTTTTGTTTCCTTGTGTTGGATGAAATTTTAGTTTTTTGAGTGATTCAAAATAATAAGATTGATGAATATTGAAGAAATAATTGGTGATGTGATTAAATTTTGAAGGCAGGATTGTAGCAGTAGCCATGAAGTGATGTCTATTTGGATCCGTAGTTTTCTTTCCGTCTCTCTTTTTTATGTTTGGGTTTGAGACCAACGAGTCAGACGACTTAGGGGCAAATCGGTTGTAAGATTTTTGTATTAAAGGGCATAATCACATTTGGTTTCTAATTCCAACAGAGACCTCATATGTGGCGGTTCCCAACTTCATATTATTCTCTATTTCGTCCTTTCCTTAAACACACACATACACACAGTGAGTGAATAATTCTAACTTTTTTGAGTCGCATGTGGTGGAGAGGAGTATCGTCGAACGTGTCGCGGAGAATATATCGACGGTGAGTGAATAATTCTAACTTTTCGTTCCATTCTTTATATTTTTACATTCATTCGAGATTTCAATTTCTTCTATTTTGTGGTATTGTTTTGAATTTTTGTGGATATTTATTTATTTATTTCTTTGTTGATACTCACACTCTAATTTTTTTGAATATATAAATGAACAGATTTCTCTATTCTTTTTGGTATTTATTTATTTTGAATCTTGTTTGCATTTTGTAGTGAAATTACCGTTCAATTGGTCTCTTTTCTGTTGAATTTATTCCATGTAATTTATATTTGCTGAATATAAGAAATCTATATATAGATGTGTGTTTGAATTTTACTGCTCAACTAATCCCTAGGGTATTGGGTTTTGGGTATTTAGGGTTTTTGAAGTTCGATTCGAGATTTCAAGATGGCACATCTGGGTGGTGGTGCGGAAGCGCACGTCCGATCCAAGCAGTATGAATATCGAGCCAACTCGAGTCTTGTACTGACCACCGACTCTCACCCACGTGACACACAAGAGGCCACCGGCGAGCCGGAGTCCCTCTACGGGAAGATAGACCCCAAGACATTTGTTGATCGTGCTTACAGGGGGAGACCTCCAGAGTTGGATGAGAAACTCAAGAAATCAAAGGAGGCGGAGCATGAACTGCTTGCTTCGGAACCTATGCCTGGTAGACAAAGCAAGAGAAGACAAGTTCAGGAAGAAAGTGTTTTGACTTCCACTGATGAAAGAGTTTACCAGCCGAACACCAAGGAAACAGGGCAGCCTATGAGTCCATGCTTAGTGTCATTCAACAGCAGTTGGGTGGGCAGCCGCTGAATATAGTTAGTGGTGCAGCTGATGAGATATTGACTGTCCTCAAGAATGAGACGGTGAAGAACCCTGACAAGAAAAAAGAGATTGAGAAACTTTTGGACCCAATCATATACTTGATCAGCTGGTTTCCATTGAGAGGCTTATCACTGATGACCCATCTGGGTCTGCTGCAGCCAATGGCGATGTTGCTCTTGGCGATGACATGGGTGTTGCGGTGGAGTTTGAGGAGAACGAGGAGGAAGAAGAGAGTGATGTTGATATGGTGCGGGAGGATGAAGAGGAGGAAATTCATGTGTTGGAAGCAGATGGCCCAGGGGGGATGCAGATGGGGCGGTGGCGGTGATGATGGTGACATGCAGGAGGCTAACAAGGGCATGATCCTAAATGTTCAACACATTGTTGCTTATTGGCTTCAAAGGAAGATTTCTTAGGCATATGAGCAGCAGATTGATCCACAGCAGAGCCAGAAGCTTGCAGAAGAGGTACTTAAAATTCTTGCTGAAGGTGCTGATCTGGAAGTTGAAGCTAAGCTGTTGGTGCATCTCCAGTTTGATAAGTTCAGGCTCATTAAGTATCTGTGTCAGACGCCTTAAGATAGTGTGGTATATCCGTTTAGCAAGGGCTGAAGACCAAGAGAAGAGGAAAGAGATTGAAGAAGAAATGGTGGAGTTGGGGCCGGATTTGGCTGCAATTTTGGAGCAGTTGCATGCGACAAGGGCAACTGCAAAAGAGAGGCAAAA